GTGTTTACATCACCACTTGATTTTTCCTTGCATTTGTAACGTCAGAAAGAGGATAAAAGAGACTACTCGAGAGGGATTGTGGATGATCGATTGGATAATGGGTTCGTTGGCCATGGAGCTTAACAAAGTCTGTGTTTTACCAACAAGTCACAATCTAAATCTGACTTATCTTGGATCCTATTATCCTTTTAGCCGTAACAGGCTCAAGAATGTTGGATTCACAGTTGACTGAAGCACAGTGGGAATAATGTTTTTTCATGCAGGTGCCAGTTGGTGCAATGTTCAGCCTTGGTGGAAGTCTCTCTGTACAGCATAGAAACAGGGCATACAGGGAGGGAGCGTTTCTGTAACGTTTGTACGTTTTCCGTCTCATTCATTCCTCTTCTTGCCAGGGAGCCGCTGTGAGGAAGCCTTCAAAGTAACACTAACTTATAATAAAGCCGCCTGAATGATAATAATAATAATAATAGAAGTTATTCAGCACATATTGGTGCTCTCGTTCCATTTTCTGTGTTCTACCGTTTTTGTTTTACTCGTACTTTTGCCCTTTTGTGAAGCAACAGTTCTGATATTGATTCGGGTCCATGGTTTAAGTTCACTCTGATAGTAATTAAATCTATTTGGGTTTTGGACTTCTGGTCGGATTTCAAGCACCGATCACCTTGGGCTCTGAAAAAAACATTTCTCACCATCTGACATTTTTATAGATCCAACGATCAATTAAAAAAATAACCGGCAGCGGTGGATGACGAATCAACACCAAGTAGATCTGTGTTACTATTACGTCGACAGCAGCGACCCTTGTGGCTGACACATCTGATGAAGGAGTGAAGAACAGTACTGGCAGTATATTAGAGTGTGTGCACTCTGGTTCTCCCTTTTTCATTCATTGCACCAGGCATAGTGTGTTTGTTGTTTGCCTGTGCTCTCGCAGTGGCACAGGGGTAACGAAAAAACAACAAACTCTTCTTCCCCTCGAGCCCCGAAGAAGACACGCGGATAGAGGCAAAACACACTTGGTGTAATCTTTTCCTGAAGCGTGTTTATTCTCAGGACATTTCCGAGGAACTTTCTTTTTTGTTATATTTGTACTCCAGTCTTTCCCGTGAACATGTGTCGTATTTGATTTGAATACAGTGTGTTGCGCTCCATTAGCCGCTGAGTTCTGACTGCAGACATGCTCTGCAACATGAACACTGCGATATGAAAATGATAAACGACTCGTCTGAAGCTGCGCCTCTAAAGATCCTTTTATCTGCTCAGATTACTTCAGGAATGTCTGTCTTATCTAGTTGCCTTCACAGAGAGAGAGAGAGAGAGAGAGAGAGAGAGAGAGTGAGTAAGTAATGGAACAGGGCCGGGCTAATGTGTGCTCTGGTGAGATGCACAATGCATCCCCTCTAATACATGAACCCCATGCATCTTTAATGACGCGGTTCATTACCTTCTCTGGATGATTTTTTTCATATTTAATCAGCTCCTGGTGCTATGGGTTTTACTTGCACGAGAGTGGCCATTAATATTCAGTGTGTCCACATTACAGACATGCATTTACTTTGCGCCACGCCTTTTTATTTTATGGACTTACAGAGTGTTTTTTGTACAAATAATGTATTTGCTCCTTAGCATTCGGTGACATAGTGTTGTGCTAGGATGACGGTCCACGCTTAGCGGTTTGCGGGACCGCTGGCTCCGACTCCCCGCTGCGTTGGTGGATGTGTTTGATGTGCTGTGACGCCTGAAGACGCCACAATAGTCCCGCAGGTTCAAAGCCAGGCACGCCGCTTTCCCCATGCACACCAAACAGGACGCATCAGAAGGGGACAAGTCGTTCCGCTCAACACTGATGTTGACAAGCTCCATCATCGAAGTGCCAGTTAATAAAATATTGGCTGTTGGATTGGATACATTTCTCTTTATTTGTTCTGAACAGACAGCAGTGACAGAAGTATCGAGCATTTTGCCCACTGGCAACTTTGGTGAACTATTTTCATCATAAAAATAAAGAACACTTCTAACACTTCGGTATCACACCGTACCAACGCTGAACTAACACTTCTCCCAGACGGCAGCAGGTCACAAGCGGCTTTAAAACTGAAAAGCATCTCTTATGCTGTGAAATTGAAAATACCAAAATAAATAGAGATCTAGACTCTCTGGAGTGCAGATCTCAGCCAGGTGTGTGTGTGTGTGCAACAACCATCGAATGAACACAAGCCACAGTTGACTAACAGAATAACAAATGCAAAACAAACGTTTCGCACAACGTGATGAAACGCAAAGTCAAGAGAACACAATGGCACAAACAGACCGGACGAAACTCTATTTATTGCAATTAGACAACAGCAAAATTAGTTTATTCATGGTTCATACCGCTGCAGTAAACCAGCCGACGCGTGGTTTGCTCTGTACAGTGAACACAACTCCTCCGCATGATTTTATGAACCCAAACAGGAACCCAGGTTCGGTCTGCATAATCTACTTATCCATGTACAGCATGCAAATGTGGCACAGACCAAGGCAAATCCGCTATAAAAGTTTGTTGTGCATTCGTCTTTGACGATGGCGCGCTATGTCGTGCCCACATGCGGCGGAAGGGTTCCCACGACGTCGAGTTATTGCTCCCTTTCATCATCGCGTCCGTAGAAGTCGGGCCCCGGCCATTTCCTGTGCACTCATCCCCATTAAGAGATCAGCTCGGGCCGTAGGATGCGGGCTCTGTAGATGGCTGGACCAGATCCGCTCCTCCTCCCCAATGACCACCCCCACGCTTCCCGCCCGTCGCTTTATCAAGCGCTGTGATCTACTGCGGGAGAAATCCGGAGCAGTCTTCAAATAAAAGCAATAACTCTTGCGGCCGCCGAGAAGGAAATCAGGAGGCAGGCGTGTCCTACCAAGCCAGACAGCCCTCCTTCCCCCAACTCAGCCGTGCATATGGACTTACCCCCCCTTCCCCCTCATGTTGCTGTCGTCTCACTCAGGTTTATCATCAGCTGCTCCCCGTAGATGCCTTATTGCCTTTTTCCACCCTCATCTGTCCGCCTGGCTGAAAAGGCCTCCCAGGAAGAGATTAGCAATCCAATAACTTGTGGAGCATCCACCTCAGCAGCAGGTGCTCCCCGGAGGGAATGCTGATGAGAGCAGCCAGGACTCTATAATAACAGGCCAGGCGGTATTTGCTAACAGCCAGCAGCCCGGGAGCCTCGACCTGCAGCTGATCCGAACCTGTTGTCGAGTCATAGCAGGTTTCGTTGGCATTCTGTGAATGTCTTTTCTTTTCACGCCAGTCAGAGGAATTCCGCTTTTTACAATTAAAGTATTTCGAGCACGTTGAGGAAACATTTCCAGTGTCTGGATTCATACAGGTGTTGACCGACATGTTGGGGAATGGATTGGGATTTTGCCGTGTGCATGCACATTATGTTACCAATGGAAGTGCTTGATTCACACCGAGCACTTCCATTGTAACGATAATTAATTAGGGACAATTAGACAAATTAGATGTTTGACCCACGACAGCCGGCCTGCAGTAGAATGAAATCTGTACTGATCTAAAATCCTCTGAAGGCTTACTTGATGTGATCTCAGCCAGGCTCCTCGAGGATGTCTTCTCAAATGTTGGCCTCACACATTTTGGACCCTTTAAGACTTATTTTTCTAAAATGCAAAAATGCTGGCAATGGTTTAATAAAAACTATTTCATTTCCATTCCCCTGGATCTGAGCCTGGCTTGTGACACAAAAAAACAACCTTCTTATGATTACTTGCAGTTGGAGCTGAACAAATTCGAAAAATTGTCTTATTTCCTTTTGACTGATATTGCAATTGCGAAATTATTTGTGGTATTAGAGGGAATGAAGTGTAGGCCAGGACATCTCTGCAGCACTATAATATTTCATTTAAAATGGTATTTTGACACCTTTTACCTCAAAATCCCAGGAGCCCATGTTGCTATTTATTACCACGATCCGCCGTTTGGTGATGGCCGCTCTCGTTGGTTTTATTTGCGACCAGAACATTCCGCTGTTACGCAGATGATACCCCGCTGTACATCAGTCTAAACCCATTTCAACCAGGGACCTCTACCTCCCACTTCACTGTCTTTGTAATTGCTATTCACAGTTTCTAACTGAGGGTTTTTACACTTTGGGACCCCGCTGGATGTGTTAAATTGTACTTTCCTGCTGCATAACAAATTCCATGCAAAAGCCATTTTATGTTCCTTTTTTACTCTCTCCATTTTATTGACTACTGTTTTATTATTTGCACTTTTACACTCTTTATTTTACACGGTATTTTTCGGTCACTGTGGCTTGTTTATCCTTTCTTACCTCACTCTCTGGCTCAGTGGTTTACTGTCACCTGTGGTTTTTATGGCGCTGTACAACACCTTTTTAACGCGGCGTTTTGTTGCTCATTATAACAGCCCATGGGCATCCGGTGGAAGACACCTGTGGAACTGTCCTCACTCTGGTTTAGAAAATGGCCCATCTTTTAAAGCTTGGTAAGAAGCCAGGTGTTAAATATGAACTGAACTGTGACTCTTAAACGCACAGTGTTAGCCGTTATTTTACAGTGTGTGCCATCAATAAAGAAGCTTTCTGCACATTTTTAAAAATCTCTATCTAGCATGTGAGGCAACTAAAGTATGCCAGTGAAAGGATGCATGTACAGGTATTATTTATCCATGCAAGAGTCATAAAATAGTGTTCCTATCTGCAGCTTTTTCTTACTTTATTATACCTGCTGCTGATATCAAGCCTCCAACAAAAAGAGTGCACAAACTCAGCACAAAACAAACGTGTGTGTGTGTGTGTGTGTGTGTGTGTGTGTGTGTGTGTGTGTGTGTGTGTGTGTGTGTGTGTGTGTGTGTGTGTGTGTGTGTGTGTGTGTGTTCTTTTTACGGGGAGCACAAAGGGGACTTAAACACCTTATAGCGTAACTGCAAGTCATCTCCCTCGTCCATAAATCCCCCTCTGGCTTTGTGCTGCAGGCTGTGCAGTGAATTCACAAGCTCCGCTCGTGTTATCTGTAGTTTGTGTTTTTCTTCTTCAATTTCACGGGGACTTGTGTTCGGTGATAAAGAGTCAGTCGGAGTCAGTTCCTCGAGGCCAACTCGACGTGATGGGCCACTCTGGTGTTGTTGTAATGTGTGAATCGGCAGGAGGGACGGTGTGGTTTAGAAACATAGCGATACCAGTAACAATACTAGTACTTTAAAGTGATACGGACCCCAATAGAGTACTTCAATTGATACATTTATTTCTTCTTTTTCAATGTGAATGGAAGCGTTCAGTTGCTTAAAGCTTTAACGTGATTGTAAAGCCTCTATATACTGTATATAGTGTCTAAACAGAACTGAATAGATTGGTCTCATTGTCACTGATACCTGATCCAGCTGTCTGAGTTGGCATCGGAGCATCCCTGTGATACCGAGCTCTACTCGGTCTGTCATCTGTAGAAGAGAGGAGACATGAGGCTGCTTTTCATCCACTGATTGCGGGGGTTAACAGGGATTATTTTTAGGACGGAAATATGGAAATGACGCACCTTTTCAAAATGAGATTGGCAGTGCATTGAAGTAGCAGTTCTCTCCTCGTCGTCACCCGCCGTTAGATTCACAGAAAGTGGCAGCCTGAAAGTTGGCGCTCTCCTCGGTGCTGCAAGAACCATTCAAGGTATGTATTTTTGAGAACCGTTTGCGGTCTTAAATTTCTGAGAGAAAAAGAGACGGAGAGAGAGAGGGAGATAAATAAAACCCGATGAAAGGGCCATCTTTGCTATGCTGTTGGATGTTTGCCATCTTCGGCGAGGGAAAGGGCACGGGAGGCACAGGTGCAATAAAGGATCTTCGCTAATTGAGTGACGTACGGGAGCCCGGGAGGGACAGCCCAGGTGCGCAGACAAGCAGGGGTCAGAGCCACGGTGCACAACAAGCGGAGAGAATCCTCCCCTCCGCTGTTCTCCTGTAATTGCGGCGAGCTTAATCTGTCCCCCCGGCTTCCTGTCGGTGAGAAAAGAATACGTCTGGCACCTCGACAGAGATTGCTACGTGGGCTTGGCATTCAACGGGCCGGCGAGATGAGGAACAAATGAAAACCGAATTACCAGGCTGGGAGATTAATGGAGGAAAATGAAAAGGGACGGATTGGACCGGCACGGAGACGTCAGCGTTACAGGTGTCAGGGGAGCAGAGACGGATGCCGGCATTCAGACTTTGGCACCCAGAGGTGCCTCGCGTTCCAGCGAATATGATGGGCCCGTGTCACAGTGAAATAGGCGGGTGAAAAGTAGCCTGAAATTAAATGCGACAGGCATCTCCTCCTCCTTCATCCGCAGCTTTTGAACGCACGTCTTCTCAACGAGGAGAATCCATCCTAGAAGAGTTCCGTCATTAGAATATAAATATATTCTGAAGCTCCAAAAATGAGAACCGGTGTGTTTCCACAGCTGCTCGGAGCTCAGCTGCGATTTTTTTTCATCTCTACATCTAAATGATCTCTATTTTGCCTTAAAATGACAATTCACATGTTGCGTCTACAACCGCGCCACCTTTCGTCCTCACGGCGCCGGGGAGGTTTGCGCTCCTTTCCTGCCTGCTGTTGCTAAGCAACCAACACCTTTCGCGTTGCGATGACCGTGATGAAGTTGGCGGTACTAAAGTCAAAACAAAGAGAAATGATTTTCCTGCACTGTGAATCCCTCACAGGTGCTTTGTTGCACTATTCGCCTTGTTGTGAGGTTTGCGGCCCTTCTTTTTAAAGGGCTGTGATTGGTTGTTCCTCGTCACGTGACGAACATGACGAGGAACATCTCGGCACACACTGAATTATCTTCCAACTGGACCTTCATTTTGATCTCAAGAGCTAGTGTATCGAATTTAAATGCCACAGGTACGACATTTGACTCAGTCAACACACATCGTGGAGTGCAACCACAACAGTCTCACGTCTACAAAAAGCCCCAAAGCATGTTTACAACTACCGCTGCAGATATTGCCTTTATTAAAGGACTTAATTAGACGCTCTTTCCTGTGTATTACAACACATCGCTGAGCTGCATTCTTCCAGTCTACAAAGTCTACATCGCTAACTTGTTATCAGCCGCCCCCAGCTTGTCATTCCTCGCATCGAGACTCTCCCGAAAGCGAACCAACGGACGCTTTGCAGAGGCTTTTTCTTTCCCGGCAGCGCGGCGTCCCCCCTCCGCGTGCTGCTGGATTATGGATTGGGCCTTTAATAATCAATGACAGCGCGGTTGTCGGTACAGATTAGCGGCATAATCTCCCGTCTGCTCCGTAATACCCTTTACACTGTAACTCTCTCGGCAGCAATAAAAAGCCCCAGCTTAACGCGGCTGCAGCTAATGTTTGTCGCCGCATTGTACTCCGTAGAGCAGCATCGTCGAGTTCATTTCTCCCCCCCAAACCCCCCCGCGGTGTCAGAACTGCTTTAAGGATTTCATTCGAGGTTATTTTTGAAGTGACATTTTCAGAGGGAGCTTGACATTTTGATCAAACTGATAATAAACGATTATCTGACAGTTCCCACAAATAAGGCTGGTGTCGCAGACGTGGAGCTCAACCATCCTAAAGGCCCCCCTCCATCTCCCTACAAGCTTTGCGAGGCCGGTCACCATGTGTTGTAATCACTCCAGAGAGATGCCCCCCTCCTTCTATTTACATTTCCCCGTGTTTATTGACGTGGGAGACGCTGGCACGCCATTATCATCCCTCTCCCCGGCTGATTTCCCGTCGCTTAATAGAGGTGGGGCGACAACGGCCCTCCGCGGGCAACAAGTGTGACGGATGGCAATCAGGCCCGGACTACATCTTCAGAGCGCACACTGTGAGACATCGCACTTTATATTCAGGCCCTTTCTTTGGTGGGAAAGCTCTGTGTGAGAGGGATTGTGGCTGGATCGGCAGCCAGGATTTGCAGGCTGAGGTTCACAGAAAGAATCTTTTGGGTCGGGGGGGTGGGGGGGGTTGATGAAGCCAGTTTGAAAACACTGTGTGACCCAGTTGTTTCCTCCTCTGTAGAATCAAAGGCAGCTTCTGAGGATTCAGAGATTCAGACACTGCAAGTCAACATTGTCTCAAAAACACAGCTGATCTCATTTCCCTTGTGCTGATGTATTTGCCAACCAGTCCGTCTTATTGTCCACATCTTCCTTGTGTTTGCCTGGTTATCTAGCTCGGTGGTTTCCCAGCCTCTTTGACGATGTTCCCCCCCAACACCCTGCTCAGATGACTCCAGTACCCCTCCATCATCAACAACACTGCCTGTCAGGTTTGTGTTCATTTGAATTCATCTAACTGGATATTATTAAACACTATTCACTATATTAGCTTCACAAACTGGTGGCCGAATGTTGTCAATACAATGCTACAGCGGCACAGCAGCGATACTGTATTGCACCACTCGGCCTCCTCTGGTATTTGTCCTCGTTGCCCGGTCGCTACTATGCTTCCGCATCACGACCCGACTCGGCGTGGGAGGCGAAAACGTAAAGACAAGGCAAGCATCCGCAAAATGTTTAAAACCATCAAAACTCACTTGTCTGTTTTTTCTCTGTTGCGTAAGAGCAGCGGAGCTCAAATCCTGTTGTGTCACAGGCTCTTTGCATAAAACCCTCGCTGCTGCAGTGGAAACGCAAGCTGCCATCGAACGAGTTCTTTCGCTGCACGCACGCTGCATTATGGGATTCCATTGGCTCCTCAGGCCACTGGCGACCTGTGTCTGGTCCAATCATAAGAAGATACCCACTCCCCACGCTGCACAATTAGAGTTCAAGATCTCTCACACACGCCTGGGCCGAAAATAGCACAATCATGCTGCACACGTCTGGAATGAAATCCATTTTTGAGCAATTTAATGAAATCCAAGTGTCTCATCCTCGCAACTCTCATCCCAATTAGAACCGAGACACTGTGAACACAAGGGTGGGAAATTATTTAAAAAAAAGAACAGTTGGAAGTGGAAATTACAGGAGGCCCCTATTCGATCGCTCCCTCCTTTTCGAACAGTGAACGTCGATGGAACTTTGTTAGCGAAAGGTTAACACGGCCATTAGAATTCAGCCCGCGGCGCGTCTTAATTTATTCGCAAAGCGCTGTCGTTCATTTATGGATCCGTTCCATATTTTGGAGCGGCGGCGAGATTTCAATCACAGAACCTCAATTAAAATAACAGCGAGTCTAACGCGAGACACTTTGCTCGCCGTCTTTGTCTTTGACTCGCGGGTCAGCGACCAACAGAGCGTCAGCCTGCTGTCGCTCCCCACCTGAAACTAAATCTATATTATTTGAATAAAACGTACTACGACGACATTCGAGCCCAGTAAATCCCCCGTGTCCCGCCTTTAAAAACATCTGGCCTCGACAACATTACCGGGTCTTTATTTTCTCTCTCCCCCAAGTGCGAAACAACAACACTTGTCAGCCTGATGCTCGTCTCAGCAGAGGAAAAGGCAAAGACGTTCTGTCTTCGTGGCGTCTCGCCCACTGATTAATGGCTAGAGGTGGAGGACCCGTGTTGTGGCTTTGATGAGGCAATTTGTAACCTTCTGCAAGAAAACAATGGCAGTTCGTTTTATTGCGATGCGTCTCCGGGGACACATCAGCATGGCTGCTGCATCATACAGTGAGGTGGTGAGCCCAATAATAAATCCAAAGATGCTGATGTGCCAGGGGGAGGGGCGGCGTTCCAGCTCACTCTCTAATGGTCCGTGTGCCGTTTGTGGCTTCATTTGGATGCAGAGTTTGAAACCAGCATCTCATTGTATCCAGTTATGACTGCGGAGCCGGGGGCCATTACCGCGGCTGCTTTCGATACGACTCTGTGGCAGTTGATCATTTAGCCGTTGTGTTCAGAACATCACAGTTGCCAGATGAATGAAACGGTAGCAAAGCCAGGGAGCTGCATCTGCGGACTGATTTTTCTTCCGTCAATGTGCACTTATCTTTTGTAGCGCTAAGTAAGGAGAGAAATAGCATATGTTAGGTCAAATGTTTTTGCTTTATTCATATTTTTCGTGCATTAATTGGTGCCGTAGCTTGTTATAAGATCAACATATAAATGAAAGAACATTCCTGGCGGGCGTGCCCCAGACCCCCCTGTCTCTCCTTGCCTCTGGCGTTTGTTATTGCAGAACGTGGACACAATTAAAACAATGTTTTCTTTCACCGTCACCCATCAAACGGTAAAGGCAAACTGCTTGTTGACCATCAATAAGTTGTCAATAAACCACAATTATGTGGATTCCAGCACCCTTTACGCTTCGTGAGCTCTGAGGACGAGCTGTTGAGAGACTCCAGCTAATCAGAACACTGTTTATCTGTCAAACATATTCTATACACTACTGATGCAGACGGCCAGCTGCTGGCCAACTGGGCCCTCGGAAGCCGATGGCACTAATTAGCATCTTGGGAAATAGTGACCATCTTTGTCTGGTAAATTGGCTGCTTGCTTTGAAGCTGTACTCTCTCCACTTGTTGTCTAAAGCAGGGTATGCTTGAGGGCGGGGCTACCTTGTGATTGACAAGGTCGCTACCAGAGCTGTAGAGGCCTCTCTGCGTCCAAATACGGTCACTTCCTGTTCACTAGGTGGTCCAGCTATTCTCATTTTAGTGACCAGGCGACCTCGCATACCGCACACCCCGGTGAAAATGCCAGGGAAGTATGAAAAAGTCGACACCGCCCGAGCCTCATCTGCTTAGTTCCTGTCCACATTAATTCAAGTGTTTTAATTGGCCGCCCGTCTGCGTCCATCCAGCTCCGCTTTACAGTTACTGTCACTACTGTCATCATTATTTAGTTGCTTAATGAGAGCAATGGGAGGCTTGCCGTACCTCTCTGATCTGGACCCATTTTTCTCAGCTGCTGCTTGGCTGAGGCGGTGTAGTGAATCAGCTACTGTGGAGTAATATCAACGAGCACATATCAGTGCCCGCATCTGCAGTGTGATGAATATTGATCATGTAAATGCTGTTAACGAGGAGTAATATTTCACTCCGGAGTCTTTCTCACCTGCAGGTGTTTTCATCAAATCTTGTCGTTTTTTTTTTTATTAGATCTTTGATCGAGATCGCCACAAGTGAAATGCTAATTTCCATGTTAATATCCTTGCAATATATTTGTCGCTGGGAGTTGTGAAAAGTCACTGAGGTGTCTACACTCTGCCCACAGCTGCTGGTGCGTCGTTTAAACTTGTATTTAAAGTTTATTGATATTTAGCGTGCCCTGTGTGCACATTGCACCAACTCCTTGCACGTCCTTGGGTCCCCAGCATTGCACCTACCGAGTGTGAACGTACTCTGCTAATGTTTGCATAGAAACGTAAGGTTTAAGAAACCTATACCTCCTTCCAAATCTCCAACAAGTATGACTACTACACAGCGTTTAACCATGACTAGCTCCAAATCCACTAAAGTCTATGGACCCCGGTCAGAGCTGGCTGATGCTACGCTATGATTGGCCGGTCTGCGTTTTCGGGGCGGGACATAGCAAAGGGTCATTTGAGAGAGGAGAGTAGTGCTGATAGTGTGAGGATCAGGTGCATTATCTGCTGTGCTTTCCCTCTGAGACGCTTCTCTCTCTGAGTCATTTGGTTTGTATTCATAGAAAGGACTGTTCCTCATCAGCGGGTGGCCGCATAGTAGCGCCGAAAATCCCAAAACGACAACGTTCTCCTTTTAGTGTGGAGTACTTCACAAAAGAAGGACAAATGGAGACTCTCGAAGCGTTATTGCTCACAGCGCTGGAGCTGAATCAGCAGAGGGAATGATGACTCGGGCGACAGAAGAGATAGCAATAGTGAGGGACGAGCGCTGAGGAGGACGCTGTGAAGAAGAAAGATTCTGTTTTGCACACCACTCCATGCATAAATGAATACAGATATAGCTGGGTGAAATCAGCACTGATAACTGTAGCCTGCTGCTAATCAGCTGCTGTCCAAACCCTGCATACAAAAGCGCCTCACACACACACACACACACACACACACACACACACACACACACACAACCTAAACAATCACTTTGCCTGGTATTTCCTTTCACAATTGCTTTTCTCCATCCATTCAACACCCATTCCATTCCAGTGGCAATATGTGCTCTGCAGCCTACAGAACACATATACACGGATGTTGTTTTGCATTTTGACAACTTTGGCTCGGTATTGTTGTCGCCCGGCATATGTCGTCTTTAAGTCACTCATTTTTGACGGATTTTCCACACACAGTGCAGTTATTCGGGTAGTTTCTTTTACTCTACCTGGATCCAAAGCAGCGCTGTCAATTGGAGAACTCCTCAACTAAAGAAGAAAGAGATGATCCCGGGAGAATAATAAAGGTGATTTACCGAGGTATATTCTTTGCCTCATAAATTCTAATGGTACCATCAAATGAGGCAGGTTTGGTAATGTATGCGTGCATTAAAAAACCCTCTATAAGTACATGACATCTTATATGCAGAAATAGAAAATAAATGTCCAACTTCACAGCCGTTTTAATAAAGGCTGTAAGAGAATATTGACAAACATAATATTGCAATATTGTGTTGTTTTGTACTTTATAGATTCTCAAAAATCCTATCTATTTTCATTAATTTTTTTACCTATATACTGTGAGTGTGTGTGTGTGTGTATATATAT